TTTTTGTTTTATGTGGTGCCGCCCGCCGGTGGGGGGGGGGGGGGGGGGGGGGGGGTTGGGGGGCAGATAAATATATATATTTCATAGAAGATCGTTTTAAATGCCTCGTGGTAACGGACTGAATTTTTATGCATCCACATTTTCATTTGTTTAAACATTCAGCAAGTGCAATTCTGATGTAGTTTGATGAAGCTTTGCATGTCTGTCCGCAGTGAGCTCCATTAGCCGCATGCTGCGCTGTAAATTTGGTGCAGGAAACGGAGATGAAGATGAGGATGATGATGAAGTGGAAAAAAGGGAGATCGAGGAAAACGAAAGAAGAGCCAAACACAGCATCGACGGGATTCTCGGCGACAGATGTAAGTTCTGCCGGGTTTGATCTTTTACGCGGAATTGAGATGAGCACAATGAGTTTACAGGTAGCCTATCTACAAAAGTTTTATTATAGCCTAGATTGAAAATATGTAGGCCTATATATGTGTAGGTCATGAATGCATTCTTCTTAACAATAACAGCACCAGCAATAATACTAATACTAATATTTTTTTATTATTGAATGCTAATGTGTGTTCTGTTATTAAGAAAATATTTGGAAAAATACGTAGCCTATAGGCCTACATTAAAAATTGCGTGAATGTCATAAGCACATGTACAGTTTATTTCCCCCCCCCCGAGTGAATATCGCTTTTAATGTTTCAGTTTGAGTCTTTTGCCACCAAATGCTAAATAGATTGATGGGATAAATGGCCCACGTCTTCAGTAGGCTATTGTTTTTTTTTCTTTTAGCGTTTTTTGTGTCTTTCCTTAAACTCATTGGAACTGAATTGAGGAGCATCGGAGATTAACCTCCTAAAACGAGACGTTCCTGGAGTGAAACTGGCCGAATCAGTAAATCAAACATTTGTCCAAGAATAGCGTTCACTAAAAGACGCTCCTGCGGTGCACAATCGGACACTTGAGGATGAACTTGGGAAACAAAAGCGAAAGAGTCCATGAGATTCACGCTTCAGTTTCCTCAGGACAAAGCTCGGCCTAGCAGTAGCTTGGTCCTGACAAAAGACTCCAAGCTTTTCAAAATTTGGAGAGAAAGGAAGAAAAAACGGTCTAACAAAAGGCGCAGAGAGGACATTATGGACGGGCAATGAGAGATGAATTATTCACGAATGACCGTAGTCCAGGCTCACAAGTGTTTTATAGACTTAAATAACGTGTCCATTTTTAGCTAGATCATGTTTTTGGAATTTTCCCTTTCGCCCCCCAAAACGACGTCAACAGCATTTGGAGGTAAAAATGAACAAATGAACGTTTATTAAAAAAAATGAACACCTGTTGATTGGAGTGTATATGCATTTTCAGATCGAGACCATTAAAAAATAAAGTGTCTAAATATTTGGATTTATGGAATTACTTGTTTGATTATTTCAAGTAAAAACGTCGGCTATGATAGGACTACTTTTTGGATTTTTAGAAATATGCAAATATTTACAGCCTACATTCTCGTTAACATTTTCATAAAAGAAAGTCCAAACAAAAAGATTGATGTTTCAAATAAAATCTGTTATTTTGCATATGCTTTTTAAACGTTTCAATCACTATAAAAGCAATTTACCAGGAAACTAGTGTGGCGTTCACCTGCAGAGGTAACCAGTGTTGCCAACTTAGCAATTGTGTTGCTAAATTTAGCAACTTTTCAGTCTACCCTAGCAACTTTTTCTTCCAAAAGCACCTAGCAACAAATTGAGCTATTTTTACATTTTATTTGGCTACTTTTAGCAACTTTTGATAAGTGGCTCAAACAATAAAAAGGCACACATTTTCCATCTAAATTTCACAAAAAGAGGAAACCAAAGATGCCTAGCAGTACACACATCACGTGAATTAAGTTACTGCTATTTGCAATTGTTCAGTTTGATAATAATAATAATAATAATAATAATAATTTAATAATTGTTCATTTATGATACACCTCGTTAGTAGCTTGTACCTGTGATTGTTGATCAGTTAGTACACTGTAAGAAAAATATCTAGAAAAATGGAAAAGGTACTAGTAATTTTCCAGGACATTATCTGTTATCCATCATCCGTTGTAACCCGAAACACAAAATACAATGTGTAATTTAAAATGCAGGTAAAAACCTGTGATTTATTTTCTTAGAGTGTAGCATACTGACTACTAATACACTGCTTAAAACGATCATTGTTCAGAATGTGTAGTTTTACTAGTTTACTAGCTAATAACAAAACTTGTAATCGTTCAAAAATGTGTAAGTGTTCAATAATTCAATGTTGTGTATAAAAAAAAGTTATTTGTAATATAACATTATATTATGCATTTATATTATTTTACGAACAAATCTAAATGAACATATAAAAAAATATGTTTTTTTAATGTAGTGACACAATTTTGCATCGTGATTACGCAATGACGTCATCACGCAATGACATCACAACGTCATTTAGCAACTTTTAGCAACAAATCGAACTTCCTTTAGCAACTTCCCCTGAAAATTAGTTGGCAACACTGGAGGTAACCATAGCAACATTTTGCTGCGTGAGTATTGCTCAAAACAAAAAGTAGCCTTCTCTCAGATTAATTTGTTAAAAAAAAATATATAAAAATATATATATATATATCACCGGTACATCATACATTTTTTGTGCTTAAAATTTTGCTTCTTTAAAATGCATTATGTTAATACGGCTAACATGGCTAACATTAGGCCTAGTGTTGCAAGAGACGATTAGCCCGCGAAAATCGCTGAACAATTTATACGTTAGATAGGCCTAGTTAGAGAATAAAGTTAGTGCATTTTTCGTCGAAATTTAATTAGTGACACTCAAAAGTCAAAACAATGTTGTAAAATATCACAAACATTTTTAACATCCACGCAGCGGATAGCCTCGAAGCAGTACCCATTTCCCCAGTTGAAGAAGAAATTGTATGTATTAACTTGGAAATTGATACAGGCAGTGCATTTTTCTAACCCCCACCGCCCTGGAACTCTTGCGCAGAGGAGTTTGTTCTAGATGTCAAGTGGAGAGAGAAACTCTGAGCTGTGAGCGCGCTAGCCGGATCACCCCGCGTCATGGGCCGTGCTACAATTGGCACACATTATACTCAGTCATTGCAATGAAAACCTTTTCTAGTAGATTAAATCGAGCCCTTTATTTGTCCCCACTTTCATCTCAGGACAAAAACCCGCCCCCTTCCTCTCCGCCCGGGGCGTGCATTCATTCCCCTCTGCCCTTTTCCTTCTCTCTTTTCCAGCACCGCCATCACGAATACAGATCAGTTGGTAATTAGTTTAACAAACGACTGTCGATATGTTGTTGTTTGGACATGGAGATGACTGATTGATATGAACTTTTGAAACGCACAACATTGCAAAAAGCTTACTGCCGTTGAAAAACTTGAGTAAACTCAAAATGGGTTACCATTAGTTCAGCTCCACATTGTTAGAGCTAGATTGATTTCGGATTGTTCATTGTTTCAGCTCAGACACTGAAATAACTACATCTTATTTGCTTTTTTAACTCCTAAATGTACACTGTAAAAAAAAAATCTGTGACATTTACGGTAAAATACCGGCAGCTGTGGTTGCCAGAATTTCACTGTTAAAAATATGGAAGCAATAATGAAATTAGTTGTGATTTTCTTGGCAGAAATGATTGTGAGTCAAATGGACTGAAACAGACATCTTATAAGAACTTATTGATGAGTTATTTTTTAACAATGTCACACAAATATTTTCCATCACATTTTAAAGACTAAAGCATTAGATGGTTTTTATGTTGTATTTGCGTACAACAGTTTTTTAAACCTGGACTTGCAACAGAATATGTCTATATCTGCATTGAAAAAAAAGAAAGAAAGAACAAAACAGTGAATGAAAGAAAGGAAGCGCAAGGGGAAAGGAGAAAAGAAAACAGCCTTTTCAAAGCTCGGTTAATGTTTTTGTTTTCCTAGAAGGATCAATCACCTCTGGCTTTTATTCACATGTAGATGTGTCTACATCATAAAACTCAATGAGTCCTGATCTCCATTGACACACTGTAAACTTCTCCTCTCTCCATTCACTCTCGTCCGTTTGTTTGCAGTGGGCTGATTCTGCGCTGGCTGTATTTCCCTCTCTCCTCCCTGCTTGTGGGAGTTGTTGTTTTTTCCTTTTCGGTGCTCAGTTAAAATCTCAAAAGGGTGTTTTCAGAATCAAGAGGGTGTTCTCTAGCCAAATATTGATTAAGTATGTGTTTGCTGAGTCTATAGTTGTCGGGTAAGAGGGGTGTGTTGGATCTGGGCCCCTGCTCCTTCAAAACCTATTGTTGGGCCCCTTAAAGGCTTGAGATCAAAGCAAAGGTCTCTTCAGATTTATTTGTCTGGGAAAAGCCAGTGTAGAGGACCATTGCTTACTAATACTGGATTGAGCAAACACCTCAAAAGATGTTTCTCAAAAACTGTTTGCTGAGGAAGCTCAGAACAGAAATGTAGATTTTTTTGGGTAGTATTTGTGATTTTTACGTTATTTAAAAAAACAACTCTTTTTTTACTCAAGTAAAAAGTGATAATTTATGTGAAATTCGTTTTTTCATCAGTTGTTTTTTCCCCCTAGACTTTAAAAAAATGTTACCTTAACTTTTTTTTTTACTTAAAATTATTAAGTATGTGTTTGCTGAGTCTATAGTTGTCGGGTAAGAGGGGTGTGTTGGATCTGGGCCCCTGCTCCTTCAAAACCTATTGTTGGGCCCCTTAAAGGCTTGAGATCAAAGCAAAGGTCTCTTCAGATTTATTTGTCTGGGAAAAGCCAGTGTAGAGGACCATTGCTTACTAATACTGGATTGAGCAAACACCTCAAAAGATGTTTCTCAAAAACTGTTTGCTGAGGAAGCTCAGAACAGAAATGTAGATTTTTTTGGGTAGTATTTGTGATTTTTACATTATTTAAAAAAACAACTCTTTTTTTACTTTATGTGAAATTCGTTTTTTCATCAGTTGTTTTTTCCCCCTAGACTTTAAAAAAATGTTACCTTAACTTTTTTTTTTACTTAAAATTTGTTTTGTTGGTATAAATGAATGTATATAGATTGGTTTAGTGATGTTAATATTTTTTACTTAAATAAAACCACTTTTTTCAATATAAAATTATTGGATCAATCCAGGCTTCTCTCCTGTTTAGGTTGAAAAATAATGTTTAAATGAAAAAAACAACATGTATTTATATTTCTTCTTCTATATCTGTACTTCATCTGCCGAAACAAAAGCTAAAACTTTCCAAATAAATTTTTAAGAACAGCAAGGGATCGTTCTAGTGCCTGGAATCATTCTATGTGAATCGATAAAACTTATCCCACAATGCCGTATTTGCCTGTGCGCATCCCCTCCTTTTTGCTATACTATTAACTTTGGGAAAACCGACAATCCTCGAGCCTCATTGAGAGAGAGAGAGAGAGAGAGAGAGAGAGAGAGAGAAATTACAGCAGAATCAGGACTAAAATCATAGTTGTTCTGAAGGTTTTGGTGGCTGAAGCTCCAGCCTCGTGACGTCCAGCTTCTACAGTAGACCATTGTTAGCTCGCTTTACATGTAACTTAGACGAGCAGAAATCATCATTTCCAACTCAAACGTGCAATTTCTGATTTGTTTCAGACAGAATTCATTTGGTTTTGGAGAATTTACAGAAGGCTTTACTGTTGGCGTCAATTGGAACTTCAAACGCATTCCAACTGTTGTCTTCGCCTGTTTACATGGTGATTTTAATGAGTAAAATTTGCAAGGAAACACTGTCTAAATGCCTCATCCATTTCACGCTTAGTTGTGTAGGTTTGTGAACTTCATGTTTCATAATTCACCATTAATGCTTCATCATAGCCTTTGAACTTTCAAATGTAAGGATCTTCAGTGTTTCTTAGAAGTGCTTTAGGTTCAACAAAGAACTGTATTCATATCAAGAATTAAATTAAGTTGACTCAATGGTATTTTAGTAGTTTAAAAAACTCGATGTGAATTCCATCAGTTAATAGATTTCAAATTTCAAATTTGTTTATCTTGGCATTAGGCTGTAGAACTCTTTTTTTGGCTCTTTTTTAAGAATGTGGTGCATATTAGCTGCTGTTTTATGAACTGCAAGATGTTTTACCTACTTAGAGTGGTTTCCAGGTTCCTGTTGAATCTGAATATATTTGTGTGTCTGACTCAGGGCTGCAGGGCTTTGTATGGGGCTGTCAGACTCTTATTCGTACCCCAGAGAGTGTAAGATGTGGCTGGGCAGGGTCAAGGGGGAGTCCTGGGTCAGTGGCTGTGCAAACTCCCTCTCTGTTGGAAGTGCGGGTTAAGATAATGTGTTTGTTCAGTGTGACAGGTAACAGACTCTCTATGATGGCCAATAAACGCTTTGAAACGGAAGAAGACAAAGGAGAACTGGGTTTAAATGATTTCATTATAAGTTTTAGGTGTTTCAAGAACTTTACATGTACTACTGAGCGTCTGTTTCCACCGAAAAATAGAAGAGATCATCCAGAAATGAGGATTTGTCAAATTTCTTTCTTTTCCAGTTAAAAATATTTTTAAAAATCCTAAAACAAGATTAATTTTTACATGAGAAGGAAAATTGCATAATATATCAGGTCATATTGAATGAAAGTATATTTTACAAATATTATTCAATATTATTTTATATATATATAATTTTATTTCTAAATTTCTAACAGGCATTTTATGCAGTGTAATGAGGTTTAGGTCTTTAGGGGCAGAAGTGACTATCAAAAAGGTGTTTTGTATGATGAGAGGTGAGGTCTACACTTGTGGATTGTAATTGCAATTGTCACGGGATTTTTTTTTTGTGTGTGTGTTTCATTTTGTCGACTTAGCATGTGACCCCCAGTCATGGCTTACTCAACATGTGTATGTTTGGTAGGAAAGCATGAGTCAAGAACATAAATATAACGTGATTTCAATGTAATGAACACTCATATATTTTGGAGCATGTGGTGTGTGTTCCCATGGTGCGATCGCTGCGTGGGTTCTGCGTTTTGGCTTTGTCCCGTTGTTAGGAGCGATTCCATGCTGCAACAGGCACCTCTGTACTGTTCAGACATGATAATGAGCAAAGCATGCAGGGAACAAATAATGCCTCAGCATCCCTTCTTTATGGTCCTTGTGTCGGTCTCCAAAAATGGATCTTAACGTATTCCTTTTTAACACACAGAATAACAGTCGTGAACTCAATGGCCTCTTTTAAACCATCATTCAGTTTGTTTTACTTATATATTTTATATTTATTCATTACACTACTGTGTTGGGTCAGTAAGATTATTTTTTTAATGAAATGAATACTTTTATTCAGCAAGGACACATTAAATTGTACAGTGAAGGCATTTGTAATGCTTAAAAGTTTTAGTTTTAAATAAATGCTGTTCTTGCTGAATTTTCTATTCATCAAAAAATCCACAAAAATATAAAGCAGCACCGTTTTCAACATTGATAATAATCAGAAAGGTTTCTTGAGCATCAAATCAGCATATTAGAATGATTTCTGGAGGATCATGTGACACTGAAGACTGGATTAATGATGCTGAAAATTCAGCTTGGCATCACAGGAATAAATTACATTTTAAATTATGTTAAAATAGAAAACAGGTATTTTAAATTGTAATAATATTTCAGATTTTTTTGTGGTTTTACTGTATTTTTTAATCAAAGAAATTAAGCTTTGGTGCACTCTAAAAAATGCTGGGTTAAATACAACCCAGTGCTGGGTAAAATAGGGACAAACCCAGCAATTGGGTTGTTTTGACCCAGCCTTCTGAGTAGTAACCCAACCGCTGGGTATTTAACCCAGCCTTTTTTAGAGTGTGAGTGTAAGAGACTAACATTATTAAAAACGTACTAACCCCAAACTTTTGAACAGTAGTGTATATTGATATATTGACTTATCATATAGTGATATATATATGATATGAGCAATTTCGATTTAGGTTTTATAACTTTTGGAGTGTGCATCTGACCCATTTGCACCCACACAGGCAACACACAACACACTTCCCTTGATAGTACTATATATCAGTACCATGGTCACATTTGTCAGTTGGTTAGGCATGTATAGTTAACATCCAGAAAGTATCTCAAGGATGATACTGTCCAAAATGTCCAGTCGCATTGTAGTCCACATGCAAGGTTGAAAATGATCTTTTCTCCTCTTTGTCTCTCTCTTGCTCCGTCTACCACTCTTTCTCTCTCGCTCGGTTTCTCTCGGGGCAGCTGCTGGGGTCGTGGCTCTTTAGCGAGTTGAGTGACTCCCTGCTCCTCCCTCTTAACAAAATGCCAACCCCAGATGGAGTCGTGATCGTTCCGTTAACCATTCTTCTCCCTACATCTGCTGGGATTCTATATACTCCTTAATTCACTCACCAGTGGCTGGCTGGGGCGCGGGCTTGAAAGGGCCAGCACTCCTCCACGCTGCAAATAAATGCTTCATTTGTCTCTTCTCCCTTTTGTTTTGTTTGGGGAACACATGTCACGAGCTCAATTACCCAACCATTTAACAGCCCCTGAGGAGGAGTAGACTCTCCCCTACCAGGAGCTATAAACTGCCCAGATGGTCGTCTGTGGACTCTGGTGCTCTCGCTCCAACATCCCTGTGTTTACTTTCACTTTATCTGCTCTCTTTGTTTTTGCGCCTTTGTTTGCATGTCAAAGTGTGTGTTGCATTAGAGTTGCCAACCTGACTTTCCAGAAGAAAAATCACAAAAGATCGCTTTCAAATCTCAGTGGCTTCAGCAAATGAAGTTTCCAGGTTCTCAGATGTTTCTCCTGAGGAAAAACACTTAAGTAATCTCACGTGTTGCAGAAGAGACCTCAGGATGTCTCAGACTGTGCTCAGATTTGACAAGATACCAGGCCAACAATTCAGCATGAATGCAAATGTTTCTCCTCAAATCTAATCTGATTCATTTTATTTCTCTATGTTGTTCTTCTATGTCAATAATTGACTCGTTTTTGTCATTTTTAGAAATGCTAGGAGGAGACCAAGTTAATCCTTAAAGTGATAGTTCACCCAAAAACACAAATGCTGTCATCATTTACTCACCCTCAGGTTGTTCCAAACCCATAAAAGAAGATATTTGGAGATTTTGTCCATAGAGTGGAAGTCAATGGGTTCCAATGTTGCTTGGTTCCCAGCGTTCTTCAAAATGTCTTATTTTGTGTTCCGCAGAAGAAAGAAAGTTTGAAATGATATGAGGGTGAGTAAACGATGCCAGAATGTTCGTATTTGGATGGAGTATCCCTTTAAATGCAACATTACTGAGAACTCAATCAAGTCTCTAGCAACCTTTGAGCAATAGCTTTCCTCTAGGTTTCCCAATCCATCATTTTAAAGTCAACAAACTCTCTTCGAGTTTTGCACAAAGCTGCATTTGCTTTGCGTCATTTTGGCTTCTGTTTTTCAGCCTTCTCTTATTTCTCTGTGATTATGCTTGGAATTCACCACAACCCCTTTAACGTCCATCCAAATGCTACGGAGTTCATTCAGCAGAGCGCTCATCTCTCTCTCTCTCTCTCTCTCTCTCTCTCTCTCTCTCTTTTCTCGAGCGCACTGATAAATGCTGTGTGTAGCTGGCAGACTGCAGGTTTGTGGGGTTTGTCCTGCGTGTGAGAGGAATATAAATCTGATGTGTGAGCGAGAGGCACCATGCGCTGCTATCATGAATTAACGCTCACTAAATAACAATAGGTCTACTGGAGACTCTTCCTGTGGCTAGAGGCTTCAAAAATGCAACGTGTCCTCCTGCTAATGGCATGTTTAAACAATTACTAAATTAATAATTTTTGCCTATTATACAGTATATATATATAAATATTGTGAAGCTGAGTGATCATTTCACAGTGTTTTTATACTTAAAGACACATGAAAGTAAAAGCACTGTGTTTACACGGTAAATTATTTTCAAAGTTGTAAACAAAAAAAGGTGCTTTACAAGAATACTTTACAAGAGATACTATTTCAGTCTTTCGACTTCAAAATTTTGCGTTTCATTCAATGTGGTACTTGCTGTTTCTTTGTAATTATTTGTGAAATTTATTAGGAATTTTTGAGTGAAACTTATTTGACCACCATCAGTCTGACAAAAGTTCAATGCATTGATTAAATAATTTTATTTTGATTTTAATCAATAATAAAAACAATTTATTTTAGTTAATTCAATAAAACCTAGTTTAATTATAAATATGATTTTTTTTAGATCTATATGCAGGTGTGGAATTCCATCATGTCTAGATCCTCAATCAATTTGTGGCATTCGATTTTCTCCCCAGTTACACTTTGTATATTTCTTGAAAGTAAAAAAAAAGAAATGTTTTCATGAAATTTCATAATTTATTTTGTCAGAGCAAATATTTACACCCCTAGTGCTTATCCTTGTTGTTTCACACTTGTTTTTAAAATGTAATTCATTAATTTTAAAGATAATACCTTTTACTGTTAGCGTTATGCAGATAAAGTGGTCCAGATGTTACCTGTCTTGCTTCATCAGTGTCTCTTTTTCTTGGTGCAGCATATCACTCATTGTAGCTAGACTTTCAGTCGTCTGTTTTAATCACAATTTTGATGATGAAAGACAAAACCTCAGTCCAAAAGTCAAAGAGATGCAGAGTAGGTGAGGGTGAGAGGATGGATGGGATAAGCGGTTGGTGGTGTATTGGGACAGGTATGAGATTCCTGTCCTGCTGAAATTCTGATGGACAGCAACTCTCAGAATCTTTCAGGGAGTCTGTCACTCTCGCCGTTTAGCTGTTTCAGCTCATAAGACCTTTCTTCTTGTTATAAAACGGATAGTTCCGGTCCTTGATTCTGATTGGCCGAGCCACGTTCGAAGCTGTTGTAGTAGGAACTACATTGCTTGGTGGAAGAATACTGTTTTTATTAATATCATTACAATTTATTTGCTCTGCTTTATTATGTGGACCCTTACTACGTATATGGAATAACTGTTTTATAAAAGCAATAAGCACCGTGAAGCCGTGGCTTACAGTGAATTTATAACAGCTAAGGAGGTGCCTAACAACGCCCCTTAGCTGTTATAAATTCACTGTAAACCACGGCTTCTTGGGGCTTATTGCTTTATTAAAACATAATTAAAATAGTGTTTTTACACAATTCCAAGCTGAAATATATATATTTTTTAAATGTACTGATCTCTCCGTTGACATTATAAGTGTTTGGTTATTTGTGGAAAAGTCTGCATTTTTTTTCCTATGCTTTCAAGCTTCTTTCTAACTTTTCATTCAGAATTCAAAAGTTCTCTGTGACATTTTCAATCTTTAAAAAAATGTTTTCACACAATTCCAGACTAAAATTATTTGTCGACATTTATTGCTTTCCCTAGGCAAGACTTCAGGCCTTTGATTATTTAAGGAAAATTCTATACATTTTTTTTCTATGCAAGTTTGTATTCAGAATTCAACCCTTCTCAGTGACATTTTAATGTGTTTCCCCACATTAAAAATAATTTTTTGACATCCTTAGCTGTTATAAATTCACTGTAAACCACGGCTTCTTGGGGCTTATTGCTTTATTAAAACATAATTAAAATAGTGTTTTTACACAATTCCAAGCTGAAATATATATATTTTTTAAATGTACTGATCTCTCCGTTGACATTATAAGTGTTTGGTTATTTGTGGAAAAGTCTGCATTTTTTTTCCTATGCTTTCAAGCTTCTTTCTAACTTTTCATTCAGAATTCAAAAGTTCTCTGTGACATTTTCAATCTTTAAAAAAATTTTTTTTCCAGACTAAAATTATTTGTCGACATTTATTGCTTTCCCTAGGCAAGACTTCAGGCCTTTGATTATTTAAGGAAAATTCTATACATTTTTTTTCTATGCAAGTTTGTATTCAGAATTCAACCCTTCTCAGTGACATTTTAATGTGTTTCCCCACATTAAAAATAATTTTTTGACATTTATTGCTCTCCCTATGGGAGATTTCAAACTTTTGGTTATTCAGAGGAAATTACATGCTCTCCCCCAGTTTTTTAATGCTTTGATATTTTAAGTTATTAAAATCCTGTTTTTCATGGGAAATATGGAATGCAATTTCTCTCAATTTCTGTATCGATCTGATTATCAGAATGAGTTTGATTCCTGTTAAATCAATCTCTATTCCAATCTGATGCTGTTTGTTGAAATCCCATGTCAGTGAAGTTAAAAATCCCGGGAAAATCACAGAATGATACATTTGAGGGAGAAGTGTCTGTTTAGAGTACGTCAATGCTGTAAATCGACATGATGGACGAGACCGGGACTGACAATCATCTTAAACTAGAATCGCTATTCCCACACACCACTCTCTAGTCAATAAACTAGTCCCCCAGGTGCCATTGAGCGATCTGCCCCCTCTTCTTCTTTTTTTCCCCCTAACTCTCTCCGTATCGCTCTTTCGCCGTCACCCCCCACCACCTCCACCTCTGTAACCCCCTGGCCGTGCAGGAGGAAGGGTTCGGGGGCGGCCCCCCGCTGTTCCCCTGCGGAGCCCCCATTGCCCTGCGTCCAGCCCTCATTGTGCCCACCTCCCCCCCCCGCCCCCTGCCAGGCAGGTGACAGGGGCCTCAATGCTGCCCGGACCGAGCTCATGGAACCTACAGATGGAGCGTGGAAATCAGACTCCAAAGAGCTCAGTCACCATTCTCGCTAAACAGGCCAACAAAAGACTGCCAAATAACTCTTCAAAAGAGATGGAGTGAGAGAGAGAGAGAGAAAGAGCCAAATGCAACAGTGTTATTTACAGATTACAGTCTGTGTAGAGTTTGTAATGCTACGAACTCCAAGCAGTTATGGGAAAGACTGACTTTTTATTTTATTTTATTTTATTTTTGTTTGTTTGCCTTTTTTTGCAGCCAAATTATACATGATGGGGTTTTATTTATTTACTTATTTTTTTATTGTGTTTACTTTATTTTATTTTATATTATTTGTTTTTATATTTTTATTTTTATTTATTTTTATTTTATTTGTAATATTTCACATTTTGCAGTGGTATTGATAGAAACTCAAGGAATTAATCGGAAGGCTGGCTTATTTATTATTTTAATTTTATTTTATTTACTACTTATTGATTTACTTTTTATTTTATTTGTAGCATATACATTTTTGCAGTGGTAATGATAAAAACTTATAAAAGACCGACTTTTTACCTATTTGTATGGGTTTTTCATACCTTTTATTTGATTTACTTATAATTTATTTGATTCTTATCATTTGACTTTTTTGCAGTGAAAATGAAAGAAACTCTTGACTTATTTACTTCTTTTCTTTTTTATTTTATTTACTTAATTTTTATTTCTTTCTTTATATTTTATTATATTATGTTTTATTTTATTTGACTTTTTGCAGCGATAATGATAGAAACTCGAGGGAATTAAGAGAAGGAAAAAAAATGAAAAGTGAGATGTTTTACTTGTACCCAAATCATAAAGTGATTTGGAAACTCTCGTGCCTTCTCTTTTCCTCACATGATTTGATTTGATGGTTTGATTTCTGGATGTTAGTTTTGGGGGAATATCATATTTTTATGTGCTTATTTTAATTTGCAACTTAGTTCTCCGAGGGCTTTCTTTATGAAGGAAATGATGGATGCCATATCCTCAATAACTGGCTGTTCATTCCAGGTGCTGTCTACTGAAAATAGTCCAGACTTTTGGGGAAAATGGCATGAAAAGTGACTTTTCAGTAGCGTTATAGAGTGGAAAAGTGGTAAAGGACAGTCTTCCCTCCCTCCCTGTTTCTCTCTTTCCTTTCCAACTCTCGTGAGATACCCAGAGAGATGCACGCTGGCAGCAGCATTTCCTGTGTGGCTCCAGGGTGGAGAACGAAGGATTTGCTTGGCGTGACTCTTCACTTTTAATTAAACCTCAAAATCTCTCTTTCTTCTTCACCCTTTCTCTTGTTTGCTCTCTTTCTCTGCAGGAGAAATACACCTGCAATATCAGTTGGGAAGTCCAAACGAGTTTTTGTTTGTGAAATAGAAACATTACCTAGTTTATTTATGACATCTGCATTACTAAAAAAGTAAAAACGGTTTTACATTTCAATTGTAAACCATATTAGATGAGCTTATGCAGATCATCAAAGGACAAATTAATTTGATTGACACATTGCAGATCTAACTTTTTGCGTATACCTTACTTGTTGGTTGTTATACTTTGTACATTTGTACTGAAACTCAATGAAAAGTAGATTTAATGGACGGTTCGCATTTTTAATTGAAGGGTCTGTGGATGAGGTTTCGCTGGGCGAACTCGGGCGTCTTTTTACAATTTGTGTTTTCAACCATATGGGGTGAAAATCGAAGAGAGAGCGAACAAGAGAAAGGAGATGGCTAGTGTCAGACGAAGCAGATGTGGCGTTGGCGAGTTCTTTCGAGGCGTATTACTGGACAATAGCTGGCTGTCACGCTAGTTTGAGGAGCCTAATCATTTGATAGGGTCCCCCTCCTCTGGGTACAGATTCCCTGAGCTTTAGTCCACTCACACCAACATTCTCTTCTGCTGAATTAGCGACGAAAGAACCTCTCACCCGCTCCAACTTCACAAATAATACCTGCATATGAGCGAGGGCTGATGTGTGTGTTTGTGTGTAAACACAGAGAGCTGGGGGAGAGAAAGTGTTAGATATACTGGCCTGCAGTTATAACCAAACAACTTACAGCATTATTGTGGTCAATTTATCTTGCCAAATATAACACGTTTTAAAAATTAATTCTCAGATATTCTTTTGCAGATAGTTAATAGAATTCATTGGACAATTCATGGATCCTGTTTCACTTTTGTTATTATTGTAACGTGAATATTTTGTTACATTTTGTATATTTTTATATTGAGTATGTAGAATGTGTTTTGGAGTCCCTTGTGCATTCAGACATGGCGTACAAAATAATTTCCACAGCATTGCTGCTCAAAACTATTTCTAGCATAAACATTAAAAATCATCAAGGATGCATTCAGTTGATCAAAAGTGGCAGTAAAGACATTTAGAATGTTTCAATTTCAACTGAACTTTATATTCATCAAAGAATCGTTGGGAAAAAATGTGTGAGGGTTTGCACAAAAATATTAAGCAGCAACACAACAGTTTTCGACATTGATACTAATAAGAAATGCTTTTTGAGCACCAAATGAACATATCAGAATGGTTTCTGAAGTATCATGTGACACTGAAGACTCGTTCTCTTTCTCTCTCAACAGTATCGGAGCATCCCAGCACTGTGCACAGGCCTCAGCCTCTTCCCCCCACCTCAGTGCATCAGACTGGGCTTGGCAGCGGACCGGGGGCCCAGGAGGGGAGTTCGGCCTACTGCCTCTCCTCTGGACGTCATGGTTTCTCTAGTTACTCTGACGGCTATGTGGCTGCACCTGGCCACGCGAACCCAGTGAACCCCTCCATCAGCAACGGCCTTCCATCACAGGTCAGTATCATTTCACTTCACATACAGTTTGGGCATACAGTATATGGCTGCAGATACTGACCAGCTCCCAGAGGTTTCCACCAAACAATACGTGTTATGGTTGGGACAGTGTTACTCAATTTAAATGCAAAGAGGTTAGGCAATCGTACAGGGTCAAGCAAGGAAATCTTAAAGGTACAGTTGCAAAAGATGCCTTTTTGATTCAAGTTTTAGAGTCTTAGAAAGAGTAGAAAAGGGTTGTGCAAAATAGCTTGTGGTGCATGAAAATATTGCAAGACTTTATATATGAGGTTCTCAAAAAGTAGAATAATAAGTCTCTTTTAAACTGTGTTTGTATCTCACAGACATCACTGGTTTTGTTTTGATTTGTGCTTTTTTGCTAATCAGTTATAGTTCTTATATGATTATAAATCATGGTTTTGTTTTGTGCTTTTTTGCTAACCAATTATAGTTCTTATATGGTTATGAATCATGGTTTTGTTTCTAATTAAAGATATCATTGATCATCTCGCTGAACAGTAGACATTAATAAGGTTAGTGCAGGTGTGGTTTGGGATTGGCATTTTTTAAAAACATTTTTAAAACAATTCTCTTATGCTCACAAAGGCTGCATTTATTTGATCAGAAATACAGTAAAACGAGTAAAATATTATTACAGTTTAAAATAACTGTTTTCTATTGTAATATGTTTTAAAAATGTAATGAATTTTCAGCATCATTACTCCAGTCTTCAGTGTCACATGATCCTTCAGAAATCATTCTAATATGTTAATTTGCTACTCAAGAAACATACAATATTATTGTTAATGCTGAAAACAGCTGTGCTGCTTAATATATGTGTGGAAACTGTGACAAGATTTTTCAAGATTTTTTGATGACTAGAAAGTAGCATTTGTTTTAAATCTTGTTTTAAATGTCTTTACTGTCATATTTGACCAATGTAATGCATCCTTGCTGAATAAAAGCACTGATTTCTTTCAAAACGAAAAATCCTACTGACCCCAAACTTGGAGAAAGTCTCTGTTTTTATACCGACCAGCAGAATGGCAATGTGAGTGAATGTGAGAATGAAGGTGTGAGGAGGGGTAGGACACGACTAAAAGGATGATGATGATGGAAACGAGAAGTGAAAGACAATTATTTGTGATTACACACTCATCAGCTGTTATCTGTCGGCTCGCCTGCTGCTCACAATGTGCTAACAACCAGAAAATGAGCTCCTAACTGCCTCAAAGCATCCGGTAGTTAGACATGAGCCGCATTCTGGGTGCTGTCCTCAAACTCAAATGCCTCGGAGTGCTGCGTGATACAGATAAATGGAATGAAAGAGATGGACAGAGAGAGAATGAAATGGGCGCAGAGGCAAAAATAGAATGACTGAGATAGAAAGCGCCCATGGGGCTGTAAGACAGAAGATGATATTGAGAATGAGGTTCTTTCTCATAACACACAAAAAAGCAATGAAAGCCAGTAAGATTACCAGTATGATTTATGGAAAACATTGCAATCTAAACACATCCCCATTGATCAGATATGTTATGGTACAATAACGTTTTTGTTAAAGGGACAGTTCACCAAAAAAATGAAAATTCTGTCATTGTTTACTCACCCTCATGTTGTTTCAAACTTGTACGAAATTCAGGAGAACGTTTTGGGCAATCGCTGCAGCTTTTGTGATAAAACAGCAGTTCATTGTTTCCATGGTTGTCAGTCTCTGAAAAAGTAACATAACAGTTCATACAACTTAAATTTGAGTCTGTTCCTCATTTAAGTCTATATATGCGTGACTCCAGAAAACCGCTTTTATGCTACATTTTTTCCCTTCTTTTTGAGAAAGAAGAAAAAAGTACGTAGTGAACATTTCTGTTCACTATGAAATGTTATTGCATGGAAAAATCTGTCAATTAAAAAAAAAAAAAAAAGTCTACGTTTTTGTTTCATGGAAAATATAACAGCATACAGGCTTGGAATGATGTGGAGTTAAATACAAAAAACAAAACAGAATGTTAACATGTTATATGAAAATATTGGTAGCATTTCATAAGGTACATTATTAACATGAACTAAATTGAAAATACAATGAACAGTTGTTTTTTGTATTAGCTAACATTAACAAAAATAAGGTAGCACTTTATTTTAAGGTGTCCTTGTTACATGTTACATGCACTTACTCTTATAATAACAATACATTATGCATAATTACATACAAGTAACCCAAAGCCAAACCCTAATCCTAACCCTAACCTAATATTAAGTACATGTAATTAATTAATATTACACAGTACTTAAATGTATAATTACACTGTAACAAAGATGCCTTAAAATAAAGTGTAACAAAAAATAATAAATGCTGTAACAAATGTATTCCGCATTGTTATTTAATATTAGTTAACTCATTAACTAACATTAGCTAATGATCAAAATCAAAATGTCTAAATATGAAAAAGTTAAAAGCCTAAACCTTATGAAATAAAGAATCCTCTGTGTGGATTTGGACTCTCGCCTCGTGTACAGTAATTGAACTGCTCAAAGTTATTTAACATGACGTATTAATTGAAGTGTGTCTAATTGCAGCGCCCCCAGCAGCAGGGTTTGTAATCAGAACCAATTCCTAGTCATTAAGGCAGCATTCCTGCGTCAGGACTGACTTAGAGGTCAGGTAGCTCTCACACTCACACTCGGTCTGTTATTGCCATTAGTGTGTGCGTGTGTGTGTGTGTTTGTAACCTGGCACAGGGTCGGCTGGTGCTGTTGTGTTGTTGTTGAAGGGCAGGGATTCTCGTCGTCACGACGATGCTAGAACTCTCAACGTCTGGGATTATAATTATGGGATCCCATAATTATGGGACTCTTAATTGATTGGAATGGGAGAATTTACCCTCCATAATGTGCTGTGTAATTTATGCAAATGAGCCACTTTGTTGGCTAATTGTTTGAATTATGTATTTATCTTAATGTATGCTGAAATAAGCTTTGGATTCGGGGTGTGCTGAGGAGGCTTGTCCCTGCAGATTGGTTTGTAATTTATTACCAAATGAAATTGTGATTATTTATAATTACATATTTTATTTTTTGTATATTAATTACAAAACTATGATAGTACAGTGACGAATGAAGCTTATGACCAAATCCATGGAGAAGATTCTTTATTTCATAAGGTTTATGCTTTTTAAAATCAACTTTTGCATATTGGAGAAAAAAAGATGTTTTGGTAACACATTACAATAAGGTTCCATTATTTAGCATTAGTTAATGCATTAGCTAACAAAGAGCAATAATTTTGTTACAGCATTTATTAATTTTGGTACTGAATTACTGCCATGATATATGTTCAAATGAAAAATGGTATTTCCCTTTTTAGTGTTTTTGTTCTTGCTGTAAAACATTACTTCTACAAGAACAATGATTGACCTATAAATCAGTTCAAGTCGGTCTCATATGGTTTTCTGATCCAATTCACTGCTTTTTATCCCATAATTTCCTGTTCATTGTCTCAAATGTACTTTTTATTTTAAAAAATTCAGAAAGTCATAAAGTAAGTTACATTGCAGCTGTAGCCTGTTCTCCTGTCAGTAAAAAGTGCTAAAAAAGCACTTAGTAACATTTTTTGTGCAGTGGTTTGTATAACATTTTTTGTGCAGTTTAAATTAAATAAATAGTCGAGATTAAATCTCATGCATCCGTTTGTGAAACCAACAACAACAAAACCAGAAATTGTAATCACTACAATTGCTTCATGTATTTAATATGAAATATTCCATCAAAATATTTGGGAACATTGCATTTTTGCTCTTTGAGCTCTGGCGAATGTGGGCTGCTTCCTCCGGACAGCTGCGTGCATGCATCGTCCTGGCTGGGAAAATGTTTTATGAGGAAGCTTTTTGTCAACAACTCCTGTCTGTGGTCTGGACATGGAAGGAACATTTTAGCTTTCACCTCACATGTAGCCGGGCCCGGGCCCCCCATGGGGAGGTGAACGAAAGAGTTTAACCTCCATGTGCTTTTCATTTGTTAAGCATCACACATCAGCGTGTGACTCACACATGCGCTGCTGTACATGATATACGCTGTCAGCTCGTGTGATCCAGCACCTGAAAATCTGCGAGCGCTTAGAGCTCTCAGTCCATTTCTCTTCTGAACAGCTGTTGAAGATGAACCCCAAAAGGAATTTCATGACCCTTCACACCGCTTGTAAAAGCGTTAACCGCACAAACACACATGGTTTCCTTGCAAAATGAGGAAATAGCATAGACGCCCATTTTTTTTCTATGAAGGAATATTCCAGGTATTCCTTAACTTGTATTCCATTCAATACAAGTTAAGTTCATTTTTGCAGAATTTGTAGCATAATGTTGATTACCTCAAAAAATTATTTTGACTAGGCTCACGTTTTCATAAAAAAAATCCAGGTTATGGTGAGACACTTACAATGGAAGTTAATGGGGACCATTTTAAAATCAGAAATGTCTAAATGCTTACAATTAATTGCTTTTAAATTTTTTAACCATTTGTTTTAGAAATTTGTGTATTGTTTAATTTTCATTCATTTTTATAGTCATTTTACAGTTTTAGGCATTGCGTTATCATAGCAACAAATTTGTAAAACTGAACATAACTTTGCACAACGATATGTGTTTGGAACGATATGAGGATGAGTAAATAATGACAGATTCTTTTAACATTTCACATGAAAACCTCGGCATTTTTCTAAATATGCTAAGTTCACTTCATTGTTTTAAAAAGCATAAATCTTATAAAATAAAGACGCTTCTAATGGAAGTGAATGGGGCAGATTTTTAGGTTTTAAAAAGCAAATATTTATAAATTCTTAAAATGAACTTTTCTATTTAGTTTTTGTGTTATTTCATTTTAATTCATTTTTTAAAATTTTAGGGGTTGAATTATAAAACTGAATATAATCTTACACAGAAAAGGCTATTAAGCATTTTTTCCCCCCATGCTGAAATCATGTTAATACACATATGTTTTGGGGCTATACTATTGAAACAGTAATTTAATGATTTAAAGGGATAGTTCACCCAAAAATGAAAATTTGATGTTTATCTGCTTACCCCTTCTGTTTCTTCAGTAGAACACAAACAAAGCTTTTAACTCAAACCGTTGCAGTCTGTCAGTCTTATAATGCTAGCGAATGGGAATCACGGCTTTGAGAGTCAAAAAAACATACACAAACAAAACCAAATTAAACCCTGCGGCTCGTGACGATACATTGATGTGTAAAGACACGAAACGATCGGTCTGTGCAAGAAACTGAACAATATATATATCGTTTTTTACCTCTGATGCACCGCAATGTCCAAACTGTCCTGAGCGTGTCCTCGACAGCTACCGCGTGATGCGTCTTCTTCTTCTTCTTACTTTGGTTTTGTTTGTGTATGTTTTTTTGACTCTCAAAGCCGTGATTCCCATTCACCTCCATTATAAGACTGACAGACTGCAATGGTTTGAGTTAAAAATCTTCGTTTGTGTTCTACTGAAGAAACAAAGTCACCTACATCTTGGATGCCCTGGGGGTAAGCAGATAAACATCACATTTTCATTTTTGGGTGAACTATCCCTTTAATACTGGCAACCTTCATTTCCATTGTAAGTGCATCTCTGTAATCTTTATATATATATGAATAAAAACATTATTTATGGATTGTTTTTCCAATTGAGTACCTCTCCAGATGTCCCCACAGGGAGGTTTTTGTCGGATTTAGCTCACGTCTGAGGACAAATTTGTCTCTAAAGAATATCTAAGCAAACTGACCAACATATAACGTACTTATTCCATATGTTTCTTCTGTTCTATTGGTTTTTAAGATCAAATCTTGATAGAAAATACCATATCATTCTATTTGCTTTCTTTTTTTCCTTACTCTCATTTTTTCATCTGGCTATGCTCTCTCCTCAAACACACAACTCTACACTCAGAATTGTTGTCAGGAAAATGTTAACCGGGCAAAGAAATACAGCCCGTCTCGCCTGACTCCACCCCTCTTTGGTTGCACCGGGTAACAGTTTAAAAGGAACCATGTGTTCAGCAGGATGGTGAATAATTTGACTCTCATGGACTCTGGATAGAGTCAGTGGGTCGGCCGGTTGTTCAGTCGGTCGGTGTGCTGGAGATTTTTTCTGGGCTGGGCTGGTTTTGATTAATGATTAGCAGAGGGAGGGAACTGATCTGTATTTGGCCCATCAAGTGGCGTCCGAGAGCTCACAGGCACTGATGGCACACTCGCGTCTCGCTTCCATCTGTCTGTCACTGGTGTGAATTAGACACGGGCGGCCAGAGACGCTGTGTGAGAGCTGGAGAGATCTTCACTCGCTGTCAGCTAATCATTTCAGATGTGTGTTACACACTGCTGCTTGATAAAAGGAAGGGCTGAATTAAAAACTTTAGCGTTGTCATTATGTTCATTTTGGTGTGCTGAATTCATTTCACATCATAGAGTTTAAAACAAAAGCAAATTTTCATTGTTTTTTTTGGTGATGATGAAGAATTCTGATAGGTCTGAGAATTTAAGTTAATCCATGTGGATTAAAAAATATGTATATGAAAATATGATTTTAGTCATTCTTAAGTAAATTTGAGAAGTTCTGAATACTAGCGGACTGTGCTGTGAGTGATTGCCAAGGTGTTGCTAGGTGGTTGCTAGGCTCGTCAGTGTAAGTCTATGGGATTTTCTCCCATTTCATCACCTGCCAGGCAAAAATTGGAAGTCAGAAAAGTATATATACCTTTAAAATTATGCATACCTGCATGAATAAACATTTAATAAAACAGCTGTGTTATTACATATTCTAATGAATATGTATTGTGTTATTTGTGCATCGATGAAATATTATTATAGGTTTTGTTAATATTTTGAATTAGATTTTAAATGTAGTTAAATTTTTTTTATTATTATTATTATTATTATTTTATTTATTTATTATTATTATTATTTTTTTTTTTTATATTATTATAGGTTTTGTTAATATTTTGAATTAGATTTTAAATGTAGTTAAATTTTTATTATTATTATTATTATTATTATTTTATTTATTTATTATTATTATTATAATTTTTTTTTTAATTCCTGCGTAGTTTTTATTAAGTTTTAGTTTTAGCTATTTTATATATGTAAAAAAATATAAATGATATATATATACATTTTTGGTTGTTGTTTATTTAAACAGTATTGCTTTTTAAGGTTTTATTTTTTAGTTTTAGTTAACAGTAATGAAACTGCTTTGTCACATAAAACTGATTTGTAAGCATGCAGATGATTAAATGTGGTTTTCTGAACTCACTTGTTTACCAGAATTTGGTCATGTATTGTCTAACCAGCATAAATCAGCTTGAACAGCATGGAAATTCATTGGTCTAGGCTAGTCTTTTCAGTATTTGCTTGTTAAAGTAACTTAGCATAGTTGTACTAAATGTTCTCTTGTTTTTCCTCAGGTGATGGGGCTGTTGAATCCGGGTGGAGTGCCGCACCAGCCGCAGAGTGATTTTGCCCTCTCTCCGTTGACGGGCGGTTTGGAGCCCAGCACAGGCATGACTCCCAGCTGCCACTCCTCTCAGAGACTGGAGGCTCTGTCAGGCCTGCCCAGCATGCCAACTCTGCCCAGCTCCCAGTCCTACTGCCCCTCCAGCTACAGTTCACCCGGGTACAGCGTGGACCACATGGCGTCTTACCAGTACAGCCAATACGGGCAGAGCAAGGTGAATACCAGCACTGAGAGAGAGCCACATGTTTGTTCTAAAAACATTTCAGTTTGTTGTGGAAACGGAAAAAGTTTTATTTTGCATTTGATGCGTAGCTGTGATATTTTATAGAGACTATTAGAGTTTGTATTCATTTTGAATTGTTTTTTATTTTTATATTTTAGTTAAAGTTGCAGTAATTTTGTTGTGGTTTTGTCATTTTAATTAGTTTTTGAAAAATATGTCTATATCGTCTTTATTCATTTTTAATTCAGTTTTATTTATTTTAGCACATCAAGTAAAAATACATTAAAATAAGAAATGTTGCCTTTGCACCTAACCGAAATAAAACGTAATACGTAATAGTAATAATAATACGTAAAAAGTATTTTTTATATTTTATTTTGCGGATTAATTGAAAAGAAAATATGTAGATCAATTCATCGGTTTTTGATTGGATGAAGGCAAATCTGAATGCAGTCGATTGTCCTGCATAAGTCACCAGAGAGAAGTCTGTTATTTCACTGTAAGGTCGAGTTGACATTGTGATGAAAAATTATAAGGTAAAAAATTTATAAAAAATATGCATGGACAGTGCTTGAAGTGGAAAAAAAGAAGTGCCGGTACACCCGCCCCCCCCCCCCTTATTTATTTATATAATTATTTATTTATATTATATAAATAAGTACTTTTTAATAATCCATAAAGTATGTATAGTGCCACAATCAATCAATCAATAATTAAATAAACGTTTTTAATACAAATTAGCACAAGTCAAGCTGCAATACCAAACATGACCACAGGGAGACGCCAAATACCACTAAAGCCTTTACTACTATACGGATCCATTCAGAATCGCTAAATCTCTGACCACCGCATAATCATAATCATACATGCTGAAAATAATAATTTTACTGACATCTGGACGTAAGTCACTATTCTCTCCGCAATCGCTGATGAAATCGGCCGTGTTTTCTCTGCATTAGGCTGTTTTGAACTTACTGTTTGAATTTGTTCACTAGATCCTTGGACTTTGCAGGAGTTTACCGGTTTAAAATGATGTGATCGCAAAAGCCTGCTTCTTTTCATTTTAAGATATTAGTCTCGTTATAAAGTACTGATTCAAATTAGTAATCAATAATTAATTATTATTCTACTACTCTGCGAGCCTCCCATGACATGCTCTCGCGCCCCACACACTCCGCTTGCATTCATTCACGTGATTGCTCCAGATGAGAAGTGATCCCGCCTGGGTAGTGTGATTTATATAGAGTCCTTTCTAATCATATATGGGATCATATAATCACCCAGACCCGGACGCTTTTACTCTGCGTACCGGCAACATGTCAGAAGTGCTAGTACGCACAAAAAAGTGCAGGTACTCTAAAGGCTAAAATATAGAAGTGCTGGTACTGCGTACCGGTGCGTACCAGCCGACTTCTAGCACTGTGCATGGATGAATCATTCACAATTAGATTAATAACGTGCATTAAGAAAATAGATTTGACATGAATTTCCATTTAATGTTGGCTTTTCAATTAAATTCAAGTTTATTTGTATAGCACTTTTCACGATACTAATCATTGCAAAGCAACTTTACAGAAAATTAAGTTTCTATAATATATTTAATAGTAATTCATCTTTAATTAATCTCTTTACTAAAGAGCAATTCATTCTAATGAATGTATTGTTTGTGCAACCACACTTCAAAGGTGCATTAACAGTTGTTTAATGTTACTTTTACTAATAGTCACTTTCATCCCTTTTTCATTTAATTATATTTGTACACTTTTTGACACTTTTATTGATGCATGGCATATGATTTTGATGAGCTGCATCACCACAGCTTGACATTTTAGAATAACCGTTCTAACCGCTACAGTTCAGCCAGGAAACTTTTTTTTTTTTAAAAAGCAAAGATTCTATAGAGAAACATGATCATCTAAACGTCAACTGAGATTATTTTCAGTGAAGTATTGGTCTTTTAATCTGAGGCGTAATCATAGGTTTACATTAGTTAGTTGTGATCCGCCAGGCCGCCACACAGGTAAACGCTGCCGTGGTTTACGATGCTTAACCCATGACCTTTCACGACCCTGTGAGATGAGCTATAGCTCATCAGCTCCAGGCATCCGTCAGCCAGCCATGTAATGAGCTCTGGGTAACAAAGATATCGTTCATGATCCACTCAAACACGCAGTGAAACGAGAGGAGCAGCCGTCTCAGAACATGTTAGACAGAAGCGGAGGGGGGAGACTTGCATGTCGAGTGCCCAATCCAGGACTGCATCTTGATATCATTAATTTGCTGGGGTCCGCACCCCGTAAGCACAGAGCTGGGGGTCCGTGGAGGAGTTAGCGGGGGTCTCGTGTAGGAGTAGAATGGCCCGTGGCAGGCAGATATTAGAACCATGTGTTTCAGACGGGTCAGATCTGTAGTTGCTGTTGATCATTGACTCTGATCCACACAGAACTGAATATAGGACAGCTCTCTTTTCATTTCTCCCCCTCTCTCAATCTCTCTTACTTTCTCTCTCTGTCTGTCTTTTTAGTGGAATTGGCACGCACCGGCTCGCTCAATCATGCACTGTGTTTTGTTGGATCTTACGCTTTTGCATATTTCGATTCATTTTTTTCTTTTGGCAAAGGCTACGTCAATATAGTCATATATTGATATCAGTGGTTCTCAGCCGTTGTGCCGGAGTCCACTAGGAGGCATCAGTAGACTTTCAAGACCGTAATATGATGTATTTAATGTAATGAGTTTTGTGTGTGTGTGTTTGTGTGTACTGTTTTGTAAAAAAGCTAAATCTGCTAAATATATATATATATATATATACATGCAAAACTGTCAAATTTTTATTATTTCCCTAAACAATTATTGTTATCAATTACTAAACATTTTATATTATTTTTTTCATTTCTATAAGATATTTACTCATGTTAAATTTGTCCACAGTGACAAAGTAATCTAAAATAGTGTAGAAAGTGGAAACGTCATATAAATAAAGTATGAAATTGACATTTATTGATTTATATGTAGTTATATACAGTAAAATATGCATTTTATTTATTCTTAAAACACGTTCACACATTTCAGTTAAATTTTTTTTAAACCGTACGTAATTTAATATTTGAAACATTATTTTAGTATCGTTGATATACTATTATAGGTTTTGTTCATATTTTGAATTTTATTTTATAGTTTCTCTTTTCCTTAGAATTTTAGTTAAATTGTTCATAATATTGTTGTGCATTTTTGTCATTTTTATTAGTTTTGTGTCTGTATGGTTTTTATTATGTTTTTATTACTTCAACTTAAACTAAATGAAAATGAGAATTGCTGTCTTGGCACCTAACTGAATTAAAATACGTTTTATTTTATTTCCGTTAATATTTATTTAATTTCAAGTAATTACGTTTTTCATGGTTTCTTAATACGATAATGACCCTGAACTAGTGTTGTTTTTGGCGGCCTGTTTTAATTTTAGTTTTAGTCTAGTCTTTGTGTGAAACTGTCATTTTAGTTTTTATTAGTTTTAGTCACGTTCATACTCTTTTTAGTCTAGTCAAGTTTTAGTCGACTAAAAGTCTGAGCATTTTAGTCTAGTTTTAGTCGACGAAAACTGATGACATTTAGTCTAGTTTTAGTCAATGAAAATTGTATTTTAGTCTCTTTTTAGAAATGCAATTCTATTTAACCCAGTCAATATAGTATAAGTACCTAGTAGTATAGACGAAACCAACATTTTATTTTAGCCAAACCCATTTCAAACAAGGTTATCTTATTATATTATTGTTACCTTATAGACACAAGATACATCCATTCCAGACACGGAAGACGCTCTGATTTGAATTTACAACATTTATTTTACCAACCAAACATGTTAGAAGTACACACACATAAGTTTAAATAAAGACGAACCCCGGCTGGCCGGCCATCGGTCCCTTTCTCTGTGTCAGACTTAACTTTGTTTGGTTTTCATCTTCTAAATCAGTGTTTCCCAACCTTTCTTTAGTCACGGCACCCTTTGGAAATTTTTACAAATTTGTGGCACCCTACAAAATTAATTTGGTCACAATATTTGAATTTCTAACTTCGATATGATAATTTGAAAAGTATAGATATTTGGTACAACAGAGAAGAACTGCAGAATATAACGTCATACAGATATTTTTAATATTATAACAAATCAGTATGCTAATTTCTAATGAAGAGACCAATTTATATGACAGATTTTAATGTAGGCTTTTATTCATATGTAAACATTGTGAGATAGTTATAATGGTAATTAAACAAAGTTTTGCTCACTTTTTGTAGGGCTATTAAGAGATTTTATTTTATTTTTTACCAATTATCCAAATAATGTTTAATCTTAGAAAGCTATTATTATCAGAGGACACATGAGCATAACGGTTAGCAGATCAATGAATGAGAGGGCAGCGTTACCAGAGTTGCCCATATACCACAACTTGTACAGCACAGTAGGGCTATTGCAGACAGAAACAATACTGTACTACATCGATGATTCCTGTCAGCTCGATTTGAGAGTGGACTTTGCTGTTCCGATGAGCATGAACGGTATATGAGTGGAGCACTCACATGGGCCTCGAGCGACTGAGCGGAGCACACATGCGCAGAGCGGGATAACACACACACAGAGCGGGATAATACCATACAGTCTATGGATAATACACACACGCATAGAGCGGGATAACACACACGCACACACACACACACACACACAAGTGAATCCTCAGCGGTGAACTCATTTTCGGCAGCCGGAATTTCTGTGCATCTCTACGGCATTAGAGCATTAGAAATGGATATTATATAATAGCTGCTTTTTTGAACATTTTAGCAATTTAAAAATATAAAACAATTATTTTTTACACGGCACCCCTGCTCTCAACAGACCCCGGTTGGGAAACACTGTTCTAAATAATGCCGTGAGTGGGGCTTGAGTGGGGCTTGAGGAAGTGACACATTTGTAAGCCACATTTCGTCTCATTTTTATTCGTCAACGATATTGCATTGTACATTTAATTATCGTCATCGTCACATGACCAGCATTTTCATCTCATCTCGTCTCGTTTTCGTCACATGATAAAGGTTCGTTGACGACTATATTTAGTCATAATTTTCGTTGACGAAAGCAACATTACCCTGACCTTAAATTAACATCTCTCTCTGCATCTCTTTCAGGTGCCTTTCATTATCTGAAACCCAGCATTGACTGAATGAAGACAGACAGGAAGGAGATAAAGCCATCTATGGATGGTCTGACCGTAAACTCTTGCACTTGAGCTCTCCTTCACCTCTTGAATGTTTGACCAAAATGTCCATCCATCCTCAAACTCCCGCTCGAGGAGCGCTGAGGAGAGGCCAGCGGTGCTGGTGGTCCTCTCTAATGCCTATGGGTCCGAAGTGCAACAGAGTTGTTTTTACGAGGGGGATATTGCGGGTGGGCTTGGGTTGGGTTTAGTACCAGGACTGAGAATGGGTTAGTTTGCCCATTTAGACCTGGAGGAAGCAGCCTCTCCATATTTCCATCTCATCACACGCTCTGATGACACCTCATTTTCGGCAGCCGGAATTTCTGTGCATCTCTAATTATTGGCGGCATTAGAAATGGATATTATATAATAGCTGCTTTTTTGAACATTTTAGCAATTTAAAAATATAAAACAATTATTTTTTACACGGCACCCCTGCTCTCAACAGACCCCGGTTGGGAAACACTGTTCTAAATAATGCCGTGAGTGGGGCTTGAGTGGGGCTTGAGGAAGTGACACATTTGTAAGCCACATTTCGTCTCATTTTTATTCGTCAACGATATTGCATTGTACATTTAATTATCGTCATCGTCACATGACCAGCATTTTCATCTCATCTCGTCTCGTTTTCGTCACATGATAAAGGTTCGTTGACGACTATATTTAGTCATAATTTTCGTTGACGAAAGCAACATTACCCTGACCTTAAATTAACATCTCTCTCTGCATCTCTTTCAGGTGCCTTTCATTATCTGAAACCCAGCATTGACTGAATGAAGACAGACAGGAAGGAGATAAAGCCATCTATGGATGGTCTGACCGTAAACTCTTGCACTTGAGCTCTCCTTCACCTCTTGAATGTTTGACCAAAATGTCCATCCATCCTCAAACTCCCGCTCGAGGAGCGCTGAGGAGAGGCCAGCGGTGCTGGTGGTCCTCTCTAATGCCTATGGGTCCGAAGTGCAACAGAGTTGTTTTTACGAGGGGGATATTGCGGGTGGGCTTGGGTTGGGTTTAGTACCAGGACTGAGAATGGGTTAGTTTGCCCATTTAGACCTGGAGGAAGCAGCCTCTCCATATTTCCATCTCATCACACGCTCTGATGACACTTGCCACCTCCTTCCTGAAGAGCCACAAGCCATGGGACACAAGGAGGACAAAGGGAAAGGACAAATAAAAAACTCAAAGACTGAGACTGTGCTTATAAACAGCATGGAATGGCAGGGAAGAGTGTGGCGCCACACTCTGATATCAGCTGTCCACTGACGGACGCACTTTAGTGGCTGGTTTGTAAGAACTCGACAGTGACTCTTTGGTTAAGACACATTTTGTTTGACTCTGTTGATATATTTAGGAAATAAGGGCTCGGAAAAGACAGGTGTGCCAACTTTCCTTATTTCTCATTCATAAATAAATGACTGAATACACAATAACATGCTCACATTTGGCACGATGCTCTCAGGTCCTCTTCATAGAGAGAAAGAGGGTGACCTAAACGGAATGCACTCAAGTGTCCGATGGCATTTCACCGGCTCTCTGTAGTGCAAATAGACTATACAGACCCCAGTCATCTGAGCACACACAAAATAGCTTATTATGAGACAGACGTGATGTTCAGAATGGAATACTATTGTACTTTTTATTGCATATTGTATACTAGTGTATACTAAAATAATGCAATGAAAAGTAGTATGCTACCTTGCAAATGCGGTTGCATTTTTAATCTAATTTAGTGTAAACGTCTTTGATTTGGCTGATGACGTGTCAAGTAAATAAAAATCAAATATTTAATTTACTGGTCACAGTGGAATAGTGAGTGACGTGACATCTGGCCAAGTATGGTGACCCATACTCAGAATTAGTGCTCTGCATTTATCCCATCCAAAGTGCACACACACAGCAGTGAACAAACACACACACCATGAACACACACCCGGAGCAGTGGGCAGCCATTTTTGCTGCGGCGCCCGGGGAGCAGTGCGGGGTTCGGTGTCTTGCTCAAGGGCACCTCAGTCGTGGTATTGAAGGTGGAAGAGAGCGCTGTACATTCACTTCCCCCACCTACAATCCCTGCCGGTACAAGACTCGAACCCGCAACCTCTCTAACCATTAGGCAATGACTTCCCACGAATAGGAAAGTCAAGTCGAATGCATTGCATTAGTTTTGCATGCCGAAAAATTGCACACGATATACATAGTGCATACTGAACATTAGTAGTATGATAGTATGCTATTCTGAACATTCAGAGAGACCCCTGCCACAAATCGAACCCAAGGAAAGTGCAATACACACTCAATACCTCACTCTCTCACAAAAATCATCTGTTCTTAAACTCTGGTTGTTTTTCATGCAAAGAAAGGATTCCAGATGATGCAGCGTTTCATAATGTGGATGGATGTCACCTTTATTTTTACTCTGCAGTTCGGAGAAGTTCTTTGTTCTGTCTCTGTAACACAATGTTCATGTCTTATTTTTTTTTACCTTGTTTTTATACTTTCATGTTTGTTTTGTTCTCGACTGCATATAATTGTTGATGGATAATGTGTAAAATGCAGCACTATTTACTATTTATAAGAACAAAATAAATAAATCGCATTCAAGTTTATTGTTTTGAAATTATTGATATTTTACCTTTAAAAAAATTGTTTTGCTTTCTCTTGTTTCTTCTTTCCCTTTTTTTAATAATCCTTCTACCTTTGCTTGTGGGAATAAACAACAAATTGCATTATTTTCCTGGATCATCTTTAACGTTTTAAAAATCATTCTGCACCTGTATAAAATAATAAACCATGTATGAAATGCTGTTTTAGAAAAATTAGCATGACCGTTCACAATAACTATCAGATTTATTCAGCCTTCAGCTTCACAGAGCACTTTTATTCATGTAGAAATATATTCAGTTTCATAAAAACACTCTTTCATGACAAAGTCCTTCTCTCCAGAGAGCTCTTAACAGGGTTAATGACTGAAGCAGAGCGCTGTAAACCATCCAAGTCATTCGTTCTTTCTATCTTTTTCTTTCTTTCTTTTTCTCTCATAAATGCATCAGGTGTCTTCAGCTGGTCTTTTTCTTGTGTATTAATGTGTGCAATTGAGTAGATGTTTTTGACAAGTATAGGTTAAACCATCTTTTGGACATTCAATTTAATGTAGCCACGCCTTTATGTCTTTGCATTTGTTTTTCACATCCACAAAATCTGGATGTCTATGGAAGTGTCCCTCTCTTTTGCTCACTTTTCCAGCATGGAGCCTGGTGTCAGACACAATAACATGTACTGGAGACAACTTAACCTCTGACCTCTTGCACTCTTTGAAATCAGTAGACAATCACAGCATAGCGGACAGGGCAAGAGTTACTCCCCACTCCCCCACGTCATTCTGAGACAGACGGCTGAAACAGGAGAGAAAGTGGGGGAAAAAAACAACAGGGAGAAAAACATGAAAGACATGAGACTGTTTCTCGCAGTATAACAAATGACATGGAATTTGATTAGTTGAACCTCACGGCTCATACGCAAACATGCAGGACAGAATGGGAGAGGAAATCATTCAAGAGTTCAATGTTTTGAAGATGTTTTGAAGACAGCTACATAAGTCCAGAACTAGTCATCAATCAAATATCTACAGAAGTCTTTCTGAACTGGTGGATCGTGACACAAAAATGGGCCACAGACAACTGAGAGAACGGCGTGATGTCCTCATGCTCAAATACAATGAAGTACGCAAATAAAAGAAAAAATAACACAGATTGCATTTAATACGAGTTCACTTGCAGTGATGATAAACATAGTTTATGCCAACCACAAAGTGATTGGGCTGCGAATTATTGTTCATGGTAATAATAACCAATGCCAGTATTTAATTTTTACCCTGTAAAGACTGACTTATAATAATCAGAGAAATATATATATATATTTTTTTAAATGGAACAGTTTATTGAACCTTCAGATAAGAAGGTTTGAAAAAGTTTGCGTGTTGTTTTTGCATCTTTATCATATTTGATACACCATGCTTTTATGCCTCATTTAGTGTGATATATTGAGAATATATTCAGAGCCCCAAACGGAGCAAAAATATGCAGTTTGGGGAAGTTTCTCATATTTATTTGACCAAAAGGGTAAGATGAAATTCTGATAACTTGTAATTCATTGCAATTTCTATAACAGTATAACAGACTACTTGCATAAAATGCTTAGAAATATCAGTTGTTAGCTAGATCTCCCAATAATATGCCTCAATAAAATTCTACTTAAATTTCTTTCTTTTTTTTTAGAAAGCTCTGTGGTTTTTATTGTAGGGGCAAAACATACAATACAATGCAATACAATAATGATTTAGAGATTAACTAATAAAGATTCCTCAAACTTTTTAAAATTTTAACATGATTTTTCTAAAAAACAGTAAAGCCTTAGAAATATCAAATCACATGTGATACAGTATAGGCTTTATAGGGTTATGGATGTTTTGGTACGGTTTGTGATTCAAGCACAATGCAGACCTCTGATCTATTGTTGGGAACTTAATTAAAATTCTAAATTAATTAAAAAAAAAAGTACTGTACAAATTGCTTTTACGGTTTACATTTTAATGCAAAAATAAAATATTAAAATAAAAAAATAAAATATAAAATAAATAAAAGAATGATCAAATAAAAATAAGCAAAAACATTGTACAAATGGCTTTGTGTTACGGTTTACATTTTTATGCAGATGAAAGCTATTTACTTTACATTCAAGGTGTATTTTATTGAAATACTTTGAATCATTTCACGGATTTCCTGGGATTCAAACCCATGACCGTATTGCTCTCCTGTTTGATCTACAGCAATGCTTATGTTAGATTGTTACTACTTTGTTGAAAACTATTTTTTAATGTTGCATTATTGTATTCATACAAAGCAGTGTTTTTTATTGAATGGTTCAATGTATAAGCAATGTGTGTGAATTTAAAAAATGACGTCAAAACATTAATGTAATTCATTTTCAC